AAGAGTAAGAGAGAGAGAGAGAGAGAGAGAGAGGGTGTAGCACTATGGACTATATGACCACGGCATCATTAGGAGTGGAAAACATTTGGCCAGGCACGACCCAAGGCGCTTGATTAATTGCGTTTAGTGCAGAATTTGACTTTTTTGTTGCTCAAATTGCAGCGACTGCAGTGGGGCCAAGAGGCTGAGTCTTTTTAGCCAGAGTAATTACCATGCCAGCACCAAAAAAAAAAAAATAATAACAAAAACTACAATAAACTCCGACTCAGTTTCACTCGTCGATTCTATTTCAAAATGCACTTAATATGGAATTTCAAGTTCAAACATGGCCTAGGCTTTTCGAATGCTAACTGGCCAAGCATTTAGCCATTTAGTCAAGCGGCATAAAAATCCATTTGATCTGACCGTTTTTGTTTAGTTGGCCAGATGATGTCATCTGCCTGCCGGCTCAAATGGCCCCCGAGAGATCAAAGACTGTCAGATTGGCAAATCTTTTCACAAACTGTTTTGTTGCCCGCTAATTTCTACTTTAACTAATTGAATTATTTATGTGCGAGCTATGGAAGGCACGACCGGAAAGGCACTGAGGGAAAATTGTATCAAGTAGTTGTATTTCATAAAATTTTTAAAAATTAAAAGGAGGTCAAAACATTCTTTGTATAAGGGGAGACATTCTTGGTTATAAGGATTATAAATAAATTTTTGGATTTTATGTTTTAATAACTTGTTTCTAGAAATATTATAAGTTTTTTTTAATTTGGTTAGCTTATACTTTTCTTTCAGTGCACATACAAAGTGGCCTAACGATTTCCACACCATTTTTGGCTGTTATCCCGCGTGCGTCGTCGTCTGCGTTTCACAGTCAATTTGCATATGTCGATTGTCGTTGCAAGTTGCATGTTGCAAATTTTGCCTTCTGCTGATCTCTGATGTTGGCCAGATCTGTGGCCAAATTATGTCGTTATTTGTGCCATTTTTGGCAAAATGCCTCCTCCGCCATCGCCACCGACGCCGTCGATCCATCGTCAATGATAAATTCCATGCACTAAGAGCTCTCCTCAGAGTCTGTCTGTCAAGGAGTATGTCAATTGGCTTGCTAATGGCTGCCAATGGAGTCGAGGCGACTCCGGGGCTGCAGTAAAATCCTCTTAAAGTGTTGTAAACGATGCTGATGGTGGACGGCTAACGAGCCGAGTCGGATTCAAAGCTGCAGAGATCTTGGCATTTATCATAAATTTCATGGCACTCGCCTCATAACTGCACAGCAACAAATTTTCGAGAAAGAAAGGGTGGAGGCGGTGGGTGGATGGGTGCATATCCATTGCCATGTCTCAAGGCAATAGGAAGCAGCAAAGTGCAACAATTGAATAGATAATAACTCACGCCCCACCTACCCACCCACCCATCGATGCCAACCGGGCGAACCAAACATAATAACCAAAATACTAGCCGAAAGCCACTGACCGTTGACCACAAAAACGGCCCCTATAAAAATGGGATGTCTTTGGGGGTCAACGAATATTTTAATGCTCTTTAAAAATATAATCAATTTATAAATCAATATATAACATAATAATGTGGAAACAATTTTAACTTTTAGTTAATAATATTTTATAAATATTAACTTCGTCTCATCATTCATCATTTTTGGATAATATGTTTTCACATTCCATATATAACCTATATTATTTTCCACAAGTGATATGCTCTGATCTAGGGATCATGATAATTTCTTTCTTATCTTACTTCTGATTTGTATTACATGCCATGGTATCCACTTATCCTATTAAATATTTGAAGTCTGTACCAACTTTCTCCCAGAATCGATATACCCCCTATCGTAGCGCACAAATAAAGGCAACAACAAGGCCTGTTACTGTTTGGAGCTGGCGCTGTCATATTCAAATTGCTAATATGATTGGTGTTTACAGATTAGAAAACAAATATTTCACAAATATTACCACTAATAATTTTGCCATGTAAACATGGAACGGAGGAGAGATCGGCGTTATGCCCACAACTGCGATCGGCATCATAATCATCGTTGTGATGATGATCATGCCACATGATGAGGCCCGTATAAATGCGGCAAGTGTGGCGATAACCTTTTGACTTCGTTCCACCAGCTAGATGAAGAGGAGGGTAGTTGCAGGGGAAACAGATCTTTCGTTTCGACTTGGACTTGGACTGGGGTATCGTTTTGTTGCTAGTGCAAAACTGACAAATTGAATGAATAAAAGAGCAACAAGTGGTCTTGCGGCGGGGCTGGTTAAACATTTTGAATGAAAATGCCGCAGTCGAGCGGAGTCAGAGTCAGAGTCAGAGCCAGAGCATGTGGCATGTAGCTAGCTAGCTAGCTAGCTGTGGCGGCTGAGGCGCAAAAACATAAATCGAAACACTTGCTGCGTGGATTACACTAAGAGAAAATCTAGCTAAGTCTAACTTTTAAGCTCTTATGACTAGAACTTTTATCAAAGATTCTTCTAACAATAAATTTTTAGTTCTCTATTTTATAATTTTAGTCCATACACTCAATGTTAAATAGGTTCCCAAAAGAAAGTTGATTTTTTCTGAGTGTCCTAAATCCTTCCCTACCCACCCTGCCACAGTTTCTGCCGCCCACCGTTGGCTCAGCAGGCCGTTGTGTTTTTTTGCCCATTTGGTGCCTTTGGTAGGTGTTGCCTTGTGCCTCGAACTCAAGGAAAAAGAAAAGAAAAACCCAAAGCCAGGCAAGGCGTTCAAAGCCTGGAAATGAAGTCGAAAATTGCAATTCCAAAATGTTTGCCCTCGGCTATGAAAAAAAAAACAGGCAACAACAAATGTGGAGTGCATTGGTGCATTGGAGTGGTCAGTCATGTGGCATCTATTCGAATTCGTACACATGTGGCATCATGGTTCCTTTGAATAGAGCTCTTCCTGCCTCTTTGGTTGCAATGTGTTGTGTGTGTTTGTTTTTTCGCTGTGGCCTGTGTGTCGTTTAATGCGTGGCCGCCTCGCAAGGCGCTTTATTAATTCACTCGACGGTTGTTTAATATTTTTACCTGTACGGTATACTCTATTTTAAGAGGCTATAAAGGTAGTTAAGATCTATTTAGATACATTTTAATATCTGTTTATGTTTAGGTGTGAATTTTTTGGATTTTAATAAACTACTTGCCTTGATTTAGAAATAATTATAACCTCTTCAATGTTCATTTTGTCATTTTGCAGACAGATTTTAAGATTTACGATTAGAAGATACGCCTTTGGTGTTTTCCACGAACTATATTGGGTGGATCTATGGACCATTATAAGATAAGATAAGCCAATAAGTTATAAAATTACCTTTTATGTGCTTTAAGTTTAATAACATATTTCAAAATATTTAAAGTTTATCGATTAACTTATCATCTGTGAGTCTTTCCTTTCAAAATCTTACAGTATTTACCAATTATGTTTATAATCGAATATTGTAACTTAGTTTCAAATAATTACTACCACATAGAGCATTTCTTAATCGACTTTTAATGGAATCCCAAAAAATTGCTGTCTCTTTTGTTGCGGGTGCGGAGTTGCAATGGTTGTTGTTCCTTTTGTTCGTTTCGTTTGTGGCATAAATCGGCCCCAGGTGTCTCGACGAGCATTTCCCACGGATTAGTGCATAAATAAAGGAGGTCAGAGCGGCCCCAGAGTTAACTAGATATTTCAAATGTTGTGGTCGTCCAGGGGTCGTCCTTCCCTTCCATTCTTCCTTTTATTACATTTTCTTTGCATTTTATTTCTACCCCTTTTGGACTTTTTTGATCTTACCTTTTGGCAATATGGCCAAATTGCTTTATTAGCTCATGTCGATCGAAATAACAGCTTAATCCTCCAACTAACAATCAGCTCAAGGTGGTCCTTTTGGCATTTCCTTTAGCTCATTAACACCCCCTGAAAAAATGGAGAAAAAAACTTTGGGTTAAAGCCACACGCAGCGGTTCTCACGCTGCAAAATTAAAAACTAAAAGCAGAAAAATAAAAAACTCGACTTCAATTTAAGATTAGCAACAGTTAACACACAAAGGAATTGGCGGAAAAGGCACCGGGATCTCATAATGATAATGCCTTTAATAACAGCGGTCATCCTGCGAAAGGACCACACCAAAAGTCATCCAGCCAGCTGATAAGATGGCCAAGTGAGCGGTCTGCGTGCTGGCCAAGATCCCTTCATCGATAATCGAGCATTAAGCGTGCGTAAGTCACGTCACACAGAAAGCTCGAAGAAGCTAAAGGGAACGTCCCAGAGGGGGGCATCATCTTAAGGCATCCCGGGATGAAGATGATCCGAAGATGCCGGATCAGGAAAGACCTTGCCCTGGGTGCGATCGCGATAAGCGCGACTTTTGCCTCGGTACGTGCTAAACCCTCGGGCTGCGATCATTTTAATTATACCCCATATCGGCCCGACTGGCCACGCCCATTAACTCGATCTGGACCCCTGCCTTGCCTTTACCCTTGCCCCTTTTGGTGCTGGGGTCAAGCAACGCAAATTGCAGGCTGGGTCAATGTTTGTTTTAGCCAACCATAAATACTTAATTTGGCCAACGGTTTCAAGCTGACGAAAGCTTAAAAAAAAGAAAATAAATAAAATGGGTTGGGTTGGCTTAAAGAACGAATCAAAAGATACTCTCAGAAAAAATGTGTATAAAAGTTTTTGTTAAGTATTTGAAAGTAGTAAATAATATGGGGAATAACTTAACATATCAATGTTCTAATAAAAAAGTTTCGGTTTACCATTTTTTCTTAATATTTATTTAACTATCTTTATATAAAAAGTCCTTAGAGGTTCAACTGAGCAAATGGATTTAGGATGAATAGTTGTTATAAGTTTGGAACTTTCCAACTCCATAGCTCTAGAGGTATCACGATTAGGCCTATAAATAATTATTAAGAATATCAGTAAAGGACAAAGAAGCACTCTTTTTAAATCCGCCTGTAATTAAGATAAAGAATTGACTTGAATAGACAGGAATAGTATGTATATTTTTATACAGAGAATTTATTATAAAGAATTTTGGTTCAGTCATCTTCATCCGGATCGGATTCGCGACGTGACGTAGGAGCCGATGCATCCACCTCCAGATAGTCATGCACCAGTTGGCAAATATTCTCGGATGCCTCGTTGAAGTTGCCCTCCTCGAGCCCTTCGCCCACATAATGATAAACGAAGGCTCGCCGTTGATATAGCTTGTCGAACTTGTTGACCAGGCGGCACCAGGCGATCCGGATGTTCGTGTTGTTCGAGATGGCCGCGCAGGCGCGATTGGTGGGCGCCAGATCACCGCCAGGTACATAATACGGAGGCATGGGACATACGCCGATCTTAAAGCCTGTGGGCGACCAGTCGACAAATCTGAAAGACCTGTTCCTCTTAATGCTGTCCAGGGCCGAACTGATCTCATTGGGGGCGACATCACCGCGGTAAAGGAGTACACTTGCCATGTACTTGCCATGACATGGATTACACCTAACCATTTGGTTGCTCATCTGGAAGCACTGACCAGTTAGCTGGGCCGTCGACATATTAACAAATTGCGAATGCGAAATGGGAACCAAAGGGGCATAGTTGATCAACGGATAATGGATACGTGGATATGGCACCAAATTCGTTTGCAACTCCTGGAAACTCACGGTCGATCCTCCGCCAAATCGCTGTGAGGCCTGTAAAACTTGATACCACTTGGGCGATGATTCGGTTGAGATTTGTGTATGTGGGTGCCGGGACATTAAGCGTATTCGCACATATATCGTACAGTGCCTCATTGTCTACTATAAACGACACATCAGTGCAGTCCATGGAGAAGTGGGCGGCCAACAGGGCGTTATAGGGCTCCACAATAACCGGGGAGATCCTGGATCAGTACGGTATTACTATCTTTAAGATACAAATCATAGCCAATAACTTACGAAGGTGAGGGATACACTAGAAACTCCACAACAGTCATCTTTTTGCCAAAGTCATCCACGAGTCTCTCCATAATACGGGTGCCTAGTCCAGAACCAGAACCTCCACCAATTGCCCGGAAGACTAGGAAGCCCCTGAGATTCCTACAGCGATCGGCCACTCGACGAATGGCATTCATAGATCGTTCCAACAGCTCACTGGCCATCAGATTATAGCCCCTGGCAAAGTTACTGCCGCTATCATCTTTGCCAGAGATCAAGGTATCCGGATGGAAGAGATTGCGATAGGAACCCGAACGGATTTCATCTGGAAAGAGAGATCCACGTTAATTTAAACTTTATAAGATATTACTAAAACCTACCGATAACTGTGGGTTCCGTGTCGATCATCACAATGCGAGGCTGTACACATGGATGACTGCTGGTGAACTCAAAGAAGGTCAGAAACGAGTCATCGAGTGGCGTTTGCATAAGTCTTCCATTGGCCAAGATGCCATGCTCCAGGCAAAAGAGCTCCCAACAAGCGTTGGCTATCTGGACGCCGGCCTGGCCGATGTGAATCTGGATGATCTCCCCCTTTCCAGACATATGTCATATCTTAATTTCGTACCTTAATTTCTTAACTCTGGAGACATAAATCTTTCCGAACCTGAATCAAACCAAAAGTTATTGACAAACTGAACACGGAAAACTTTCGTTTAAGTACATAACATTGATTTATTGTCCGCGCGCGGATTAATCAGTTTTTCAAAGCGTTAGATACATGTAGATATAATTTATTTAGATATACAGATATATATTCTTAAATTTAGTTTAGGTAATTCCGTGCTCGAGTACGTTGCCGTTGTAAATTGGAATGTGTAAGAAGTTCGAATTGATTTTGTGTGATCTAGTTCCTACAAAAAAAATGGACCTGGTATTCAGATACATATATATGTATGTCGGTGTATAATACAAAAGCAGTCGCGAGGTCAAGCTACGTAAATAATTTACAAAATATTAATAGAATAAAACAAATACATTTCGGTTTTGGGGATTATAAGGACTAGAGAGGTTACAAAGTTTATACACCTGTTGTCTAAATGACAAAAATAGTGCATTTCAGGACTATAAGAGGGTATTATTAACCGTCTTTGAAAGCCATTTCTAGAAATATTTGCAAGAAAAAGTCCTTTTATAAGTTTTTCTTTTTGACTAGGGACAGAAATACTGCAAGTGTAGTAAGACCATAATGTTTTTTTATACATTTTCAACTTTTTAAACTTGACTATAATTGAAATGACTTTATGTCCTTATGATCGAAATCAAAATGCATATAAATAAATTGTCTTTAAAGACAAAGTTCTCATAGGTTCTCATAGGTAGTTCTTACTCAAAAGAGCTTTGATATCTGGATTTAAAAACTGCTCTATAGTCCTAAAATGCACTATTCTTAGATATCTTTTTCAATGTTTTGTTCTGAAGCTGCTAGTTTGTTCAAGGCTCTTTGTTATAGGTTATCTAGAGTAGAGACTGCTCCAGAAGTATACGCTCAAATCCAGGTGGTGGACTATTTGAAAAATTATCCAAGATAATGTCCAGGATGGCGCCATTGCCCACTTTAAAATATATAGATTAAAATGGGTTTACTTTGAGTCAAAATGTACTCACCATAAATCACGGGAAACAATGCTGCGCCTCGCACATTTCGGAAGGGAACCTCTAAATTCTTTCCATTGAAGTAGAAGTTTAGCTCAACATGGTCAAAGGCCACGCCTACAATATCGCCCTCGTCGGGAAAATCTCGTTGTGGCGATGTTATTAACGAATCACTGATACCCACATCGGACGGTGCCACTCCGGTGGTCATTAACAGATCTTCCTGCTGCAGATCTTCGATGGCAATAAGTCCAGCTGCCTTGGCAGCACTATTGTTGAGGATTCCATTGGGCGTTCGTGATGGTTGGGTGGTGCAAGCAGCCTGCACCACTGGTCGGATTACCTCTTGATCATTATGGCGTGTGGCATTGTCGGAGCACAGGCACCAGGACTCACGATCTCCGCCTCCACTCTTCCGACTTAGATCCGTTTGTCGGGTTGCCAAACCCACGGACCAACTGCCTCCCTGCTGGATCTTGACCTCGAAGTAAGATTTCGATTGGACCAAAGGAGCTGTGGCCAGAACGCCTCCGGTTCCAGTTACTCGAAGCTGGTGAGACAGTAGGATAACATCAGGTCCTGAAGAGTATATTATGTTTTAGTTATCAGGATGTAATAAGGTTTTGATCATGCATAAGGCAGAGCTGTAGTTCTGTAGATACATACATATGTATATAACTTTCATATATGTAAGTTGTTGAGTTTTTTTTTTAATTTCTATTAGTTGCTTTTTTAGCCTTCTTGTACTCTTAAATACTACCATATCATATCATATCTAGTTCTAATCAAATTCTTTCAAATTCTGCTATCTTTATAGCTATCAATCATTATCGAAAAGCACACTTGTTAGAAATTACTATTTGAGACTTTTAGGGAGAGAACCAACTTAAGTCAGGAAGTATATAACAACCCTTCAAAAGGATATATTATCTTTAAGATTCACTATATAACGGTTATTATCAGCTACATAGTTTCTCTGATTGAAATATTACCCATATGCGCTGCATCCAAATGAACATCGGGCTCCCGTAGGCGACTGGCAGCTGTTGGTTTCCTTATGTGTCCTCCATTGAGACAGGTGCGTAGGCAGCAGAACATCCCTAAATCGATGTGGGTTTACTTGAAGACCTTGTTTAATTTTGCTTTTTAAACAAATCGCAAATCTTTTTCGCTGTTTCGTTTGGTTTTGTTTTTGTGAACAGATGTTCTGTATATCAAAGGGTCATACTATATTTTGTATTTTTTGGTATATGTTGAGAGCAGCGAGAAAGCGAAGTGAAATATAGGTGGCGCCAGAAAATTATTTTTGGCAATAAGTTTTATATTTAAATAAATTGGTTTATTAAAAGTTTTTTTTATTTTCTTTTGTGGTAATTAATTTATTATTAGTTTATTTATTAGTTTTTAACAAAGGAAGAACTCATTTTTACTGGGAATAAACCTTACCTTGTTTCAATTGTCGCCATCTAGTGTATAACTAAAGTCAATCATTAGCATTGACTTAGTACTAAAAATGTCCGTCAAAATTGTGATGGAAGATTAGCGCTAGCCTTCGTGATACAGGTCTTAACAGTGTTTAAGTCGATCAAGAATTCTTGAAATCAAATATTTGAAAGTCCATTGTTATACTCATTACTAAAGTGCTGCCCTTTATTTTTTGACAAAGAAGAATTAAAAATAATGAAAACATACATACGTACTATAAATCTTAGCTGTTATGTTTGGTACACTTTCAGGTACTTTATATCATATCAGATAGTGCTAAACACAGTACCATTAATTTTACTATTGACTCCATTTTTATGTTTTTCAAAATTAAAGACATTTTTGTATTGAAGGGTATTTTTCATTTCTCATCTTGATTTACAAATACCGCTTCTATGAAATTTTATTATAAAATCCCGATCCCATTACTCCTCGGAGCACTTGTCGTAGTTGGCTACCAGCTGGCGGTACAAGTTGGAAACCCTCGAGCTCTTGTGGCAAACAGTGCCGCCACCTCTATGCAGCTGACCCTGCTGACGGTTGATGTCACCCACACAAATCCAATCGCCTCCACCCACACGCCAGTGGTAGATCAGAACGCCCGTAGGGCGAGACACTGCCCACTTGGAATGGTCCTGGGTTGTCCTAAAGTCCACGGATAGAGTTGGATTGGATATAGACTCCACATTGAGAACTTTGTCCGATTTATCGCAACTGTTTGGCAAATTGCCAGTACCATCACGCCATGCCTCCACAAAGAGACTGACATCCAGAGCAGGGGGCCACCACATCGGCATACAGCTCCACGTTGGCACGTCCACTCTTTCCAAACAGACGGAACTTCTTGCCATCCAAGCTGCGAAGATCAACGTCCTTTTGGAACGGGGACTCCGTCCGCCATTGACCATGCAAAGCTCTTTCCAAACTTGGAAACAGTTCATCCGATCGACTGACCAGGGGATTCCTTTCATAGTAGAAATGTGGTTCATTGTAGACCAACACCTGACCAACCTTCTCCAGATCTTCAGCCTTCAGAGTGATGCAGAGCATACTCTGAGCGTATTGTTCACCAGAGTTGGGATATGTATATTCCGGAATAGTTGGATATTTCGGCACCGAATGTACAATCCAAATGGCAGTCTCTCCATCGCTGGCCACCACTCCTTTGGCATGACCTCCAGTACTGAAGACCGTTCCATTTGGCTGCTGATCATTGTAGGCAGCCAGAAGAGTATGAGTGGGATCTTGATTCAATGGGTTAAGGGTTTGGGCTGGCAGGGACAAAGGATCACTTATGAAGTTCCCGGACATCTGCCAGGTGTCGTAGCTCTGGCTCGTGACATACAGATACTTTAAGCCACTGGTATCCTTGCCCAGATCATTGCGCTGATAGTGCTTGGGCAGCTTGTAAAGGTGCCACCTGAAATTGTGAAAATAAAAAATATAGAATTCCTATTTTTTGCCCTTAAAAATCTATTCTTGAAGTCAGAGTTTATATATTCTTTTAGCAAAAAGAGAACAAAGATTAAATTAACCAATTAAAAAACTACTAAAAACTTACTGATTAAAAATGTTGCTTATTAAAGACTACAAATTGTTATCAGTTCTAGTTCCGATTATGTAGCTATTTCCGAAAATACAAATACAAGTATACATAAGTTTTATTTTGGGACTTTAATAGAATAATAAAAACTGAATAGTCTAATAACTTTGGAATAACTCTTATCAAAATATTAAACTCATTTTAGCTATATACTCAGGTGCTGGCAATGTTTAATGGTTTGTAAACAGCAATATCAATTAGAAGAGCAAAATGTAACCTTTTTCAAATGCCAATATTAGCGAGAACATTGTCCATAAGTAAATACTTTTAGCAAAGCAAATATTTTATTTAGAAACTGTTTAAAATATAACTTTCAATCAGGAAACTTACCAGTCCACATCATTGCCTGACTCATCCTTGCAGGACACCTTAGCCTTAGCTTCGCTTTGGCATGAAAACCAAAAGATTAGCAGGAAAAAACACAGAGATCGCATTGTACAACCTACAAGTTGCTCGCTCGGAAAACAACTGAGTGGAAGATAATGAATCCAAATCAATCAACGGCTGCCATTGTACAGGGTGTCCCAGCTAAACAGGGAGATCTCTTTGTTTCTCTCTTTCTATATACTTACCGGGTAGAAAGTTTAAAACAAATAAAAGCTGCGATCTGTTTTTGTTTTCCTCTTTTATCTTAAAATTGCACTTATGAATAAGTGACCTGCTTTTGGGTTTTGCTCTCTCTTTGTACTCAGCTTATCAACACTTTGTCTGTCATCTGAGGGGTTAGCAACTTCTTGCCAAAGATCATTGGAAAAGAGAATTGAGAGATAAGCAAATGAGCTAAAAAGTGCGGCTATAACGAATATTTCAAGTACCCTACGTTGATATAAATATAAAAGATGTATATTGGCGGAAATTTCAAGTTACTGAAATTATAAGTCCTGACATGTTCCTGTATTAATGTTTGTTAAAAATTCTTTAAATAAATATATACAATTTTTAACAAAAAATTTTGATATACTGATATACCCCATAACACAAGAAAAACGAACCAAAAATATACATAAAGGTAATTCACTAAAAAATAAAATAGTTTACATAGGCAGATCCCTAAACTGATATGTCCTATAACGCAATCCCCTACAATACGATCCATATTCGCCAGTATCTCTCTCCCATCCATCTGTTGGCACAACAAATTCCAATTCTTTACAATTACACAAAACAATTGTTAAAGTTTTTATTTATTATTCGTATTATTATTATTATAATTTGTCGCCTGCTGCAAACTGCGATTTGTTGTTTCGGCTGCATATCGTTTGTGCCTCTTTGTTTTTCCCTCCTCTCTTCGAGATCGCTTGAAAATATTATTATTATCAAATTGTATAATTTGTCTTGCATCTGCTATTATCATTTTTGAATTGAAATAATCTGTTTGGTAATTTTCATTTAAATTGAATTCAATTTCGTTTAGTTCTTATCGCTGGTTGCTGTCTGTGAAAAAATGGTTCACCTTTCTCTATGTTTTCGGTTTGCCTCTGATCTGTACTTTTCTGTTTTTCTTCTGGGTTTTCAGCTTTTCCTGTCTTTTCTTGTCAATCAACTGTCACTGCCAATCGGTTGGTATTGCCATTTAGTTTTACATTTAACTTAACTTTACCGATTTGTTATGTCATCTCTTTGGTTTCGTATGCAACAATACATTTAAACTCACAATACAATATTTTCGCTAAATATTTTTTATGTTTTTTTTTTGTTTTGTATTCATTTTCATGTTTTATAGTAGTTAATAATTTTTATTAATATTTTGTATGTTTTTTTTCTTATTTTTTTTCGGTTTTTCAAATATATATATATAAAGAACAAGGCTGATATTTATATTTATATATATACGAGTTTTGTTTCTGCTTTATGTAAGTTTTATAATAATAATATTTAGCTATAAGTTTTCTTTTTTTCATTTGCTTTGAAAAATCAATTTGTTTTTTGTTTTTTTTACAATATTAGCAAAAGATCTTTATTCGATTTAAAAAAAGAAAAAGTCGAACTTTTGTTTCGCGAAAATGTTGTTAAATAAATGAGCCTCAAAATAGACAAATATTTGCCATTTGTTGTAGTTTTTAATATTTTGTAATTAATATTAATCATTATTTTCGTATTATTTACGGATAAAAGTAGACTCAACTTTGAGTTATGCAAATAAAAATTGCATTTTCCCGTTAGACTTTCGGTTTTTTCTTTATGTTTTTTTATACTTTTTGAAAATTGCTGCGCATAATTTGTGGCTGCTTTTCAATTATATATATATATATATATATGTATATATATAGTGTATATATAGTTTTAATCGGGCACGAGTTTGATATGTTTTGACTTGTGTTATCTTCATTTAACTGCTGGTTTCCCTCTAGCTCTGCCTTGATATTTTCAATATTCAATATCAGATCCTTTCCTACTTAACTTCCTATAGATACTATACATACAGCGATTTTCTCGGCTCTGTGGTTGAGTATAATGCTTTTCTAGTTGGCTCTCCCTCAAATGACTCAAAACTTTAATTGGGGAGAGAGATTCATATATGTAGTTTAATTTATGTAATTGTATAGTTGGTTTTAATTTCCATTTCTTGCAAAAATTTTCACTAATTTAAAATTCGTTTCTTCAAAGGTTTATCGCGTGTGTGTGTGTGATATTTGAGTTCTGATAATGAAAATGAAACAATAAGAAAATTTGTTTAACGAACAAAATATAAAGTTTTATTATGCATAATTAATACCGTCAATTGAAAAGTTCTAAGTTAAGGCTACACAAATGATATAAGTATATTTATATATGGGTTTATCATAGAGGTATACAATACATATACATATAAATTACTTAGAAATTAGTATTGAATTGTTTATAATTTAGTTATATATTTATTATTATTTTTTTTTTTTAGGCAAACATAAGGCAATATTGGGAGGGAACTTAAATTAAAAAACAAAAGGATCAAGTAAATATTTTCGAGACGCAAATTAAAGTAAAAACAATAAATACAATAATTAATAAGAATATTTACTGTATTACTGATTTACTTTTACTGTTTACTGTCTTTCTATTACTGCCACATATGGTAGATATGCCATTACTATGTAAGCATATAGCTAGCATTTATGTAAGTAGTTCCGTAATCTATTACTAAGCTTTTCATTCAGTTATGCTTTCTTTCCCCATACTTTGTTTTTGGTAACTGCTTTTTACGCTTACAATGTTTTAAAAATTTAAAAACCACATCAAAACATATCGGTTTTATTTTATACTTAATAAGTTGTTTCTTTCTTCTTGTAAAAGTTTCTTCTCATTTTGTTCATTATCCGTTTTCTGATATGTATTTGTTATTTTTTCTTTGTTTTGTAATTATTATTATTTAGTTTTTCGTTTCTTTCAAAAATCTTGTAATATATATGTGTGTGTGTGTGTGTATATATATTCATATAATGTTCCCATAATTCATATTGTTTAGTTTAGGTTTTTTTTCTGTCATTCATTCATTTTTCGCTTTCATTAGTTTATCGATTTACGAGCAAGGTTTTTCCTCTGTTTTCCACTTCATCTTTATCTGGTGTTGTTGAGATATTCCCAATTTCTAGTTTAATATTTGCATGCTGCAGATCTGTAAGATCTGGTTGTATATAGAGCTATGAAATTTAGTTTAAAGAATGTCTGGAAATCAAGCCTCGAAATGGTTCTTCGTTTGTTTTTTTTTTTTTGGGGGGTGGGGATTGAACAACCTTGCCACCGCGCTGGTTTTCCCTCTCTTTCTCTCTCTATCTCTGTTAGTGAAAATTGCACACGATTTTCCCAGTCACACGCACACACACACACACCGGCACACACACAACCTATGCGTATTTCCATTGCTTTTGTTGCATACTTTTGGGCTCGCCGGCCTATCTTAGGCGCTAAAAATTAATTTCGAAAATATTTGTTTCATACTTTAGCATCTATTAATTTGTTTTTGTTTCGTTATTTATGCTTATTTGTAGTTGTAAATATTTGTTTTTTTTTTGTTTTCCATCATCGGGCTTCTTGTTGGTTTTCTTAAATTGTTTTTGAAAGGCGCAATTTTATGATATGCATTAGTATATTATATGTATAATTAAACATTTTCTTGCTTAGACACTAAAACTTTAACTAATTTACTTGTCTCTTTGTGGTGACCGTGTGTGTGTGTGTGTGTGTGTGTTAGGATTACAGACTTATAAGTAGACCTCTCTGTTCTTAACTTTGAATAATGATGGTTATCAAACCAACGCGATGCTGGCGAAGAGATGATATTGATTTTAGGGCAAGAGGAAAGCACGAAATGTAATTGGACGGAATATGCATTTTACATTCGACTAAAGTTAGACAGAAATTAAAATAAGTAAAGTATTTAAAAGAATACATAATGTTTAGAAAAGGGCTAAAAATTGACCAATTAATAAATGTGTTTCTTTTTTCATATTATCTCTTAACAATTGTGTTTTTTTTTTTTTGTCAAATATGCCTTTGGTATGTCTAGTCACATTTACCCTAAACTAAGCTTTTAAAAAAACATTTAAAATTAGTTCGTGGATCTCTTCCGTCTGCTTGTTTTTTGTTTAACAAATTGTGTGTGAATTGGTTAACATAACTTGTTAAATTAGTAAGGACAACTTTGGTAAAATTTAAAGATTTTATCCGTATAAATATGTATACTTAAATTGGTTTAAACAAGGCTGAACGAACTCTGTGGAAAGAACATTTGAAAATTATTATGTAAAAAGCTTGCTTATAAATTGCTTTCGTATTTAACTATATATATAGTTGTTTAGCCTTTAGGCTTTACATTTTATTTTTTTTTTTTTTTATAGTTAATTATAGTTGGTTTTCTGCTGTTTGTAGTTATAATTTGTCCTTTCTGGTTTTGTAGTTATACATACTCGACTTTTGCTTGCTACGTAAGATGATATGCAATTGATTTTATTTACTCGTCCGCTGTTCGCTGTTACCTCCTCAACACTCCCCCTCCCCCCACTAAATCGATCGTTGGTTTAGCAAGAAATGTGATTTGATTGTTCTAGCATTTCGAAAGTTAGTTAGGAATAGTTTCTCATATTAATAAGATGGAGTTTTTTTTGGGGGCCCTCTTAGTAAAGTTCAAGTCTTTGTAGGGGAAACGCAGAAAATTCTCAGTAAAAATTGATGAAAGAAAACATATTTAGTTCTGGGCGGAAAGTTTAGAGTGTCCTGTGCCAGTTTCTGTTAAAGTTTCATTTCAGCTTTTCTTCTTATGTTTCTTTTTTTTTTTTTTTTGTTAAAAATCGTTATTTTTTTTTTGTTCGAGTCTTTGCTTCACTACAGCGCACCTGCAACATTCATCCTATCGGTTAAGTTTTCATTTCAAATTCACATTTAAATTTTGTTATTTCTTATGTTTTTAACAAATAAATTTCGAAACCAGCTTTCAGTATTCCTCAATATAAATTGAAAATTTATACGATGACGTCGACTACTCGTTGTGGTTGTTTTTGTAGAATTTTCTTGTTGAGTAACATTTTGAAAATTACCTTACTAGTTATACAATTATTACATTAATGCATATATTTAAATTGTTTTGGTTTTTAGTTTCATATTATGTTTTTGTTTTTTGTTTCATAATTCTAGAAAGAGAGCTATTTAAAGGGCACATTCGGTTAAGCTATAATTATATATTTTCCTCATCCTTATACTTTGTTTTTATATTTTATTCCCTTACACTGCTTGATATATCAAGAAAAATAAAGTTGAAATTATAAAAATAATTCAAATTTCATGTCTCAATTCCATTTTGTTGAAAGTCAAGTTAGGTCATGGGTTGAATGAGGGGAGGGGGAGTTGTAACAAAAATAAACAATTAAACAAAATCAATTGATCAAGCTACAAAAATGAAAACATAACCAACAAATTCTTGATCAGCATGCTATATATATTTGATATATAGGTTTATGTATATATGTGTGTATTCGTTTATAGGGGCATATCGGCTGTATTGCAACTAACTTAGTTAAGTAGTTCGCTCAGCTTCCGATCTATCGTAAATTGTATATTTTACTACAAGTTTATCCCGTTTTTGGTTTTCACTACAAATCGCTTTTTTGTTGCCTGTCGAAAAATTTCACTAAACTGGGTTATACGGGGTCTGCTTTTCTTTTTCTTCTCTTCTTCCTCTTCTGTCACATATAAATTAACTTCTTTTTGCATTTTTTCCATTTTGTTTGGTTTTTTTGTTAGTTTTTTTTTTTGTAATTTTATATGTTTTTTTTTTTGTCTAAAACTAAAGGTTTGCCTCCTCGCATGAATCCGTTGCATGCGGAGCTTGGTTTGCCCTCGATTTGCTCAAACTCAAATGTGATTCCATCAGGCTGCTATGTGACTGACCGCCGGCAGCACGTACGAGTAGATGTGGTGCGTCTGTATCGGCTGGTGCTGTGCTGCTGCTGTTGGTGGTGGTGCGACGGCTGGTGGAGGTGCTGAGTCGCATAATGGTGGCTCAAGTTGCCACCGGGTCAGGTTGCTGTCGGCGTCATCAAGAACTGTTGCTGCTGATGGTGGTGCGGCTGATGATGATGATGATGATGGTGGTGGTGGCTCAAGTGTTGCTGCTGCTGCTGCTGTTGGTGGTGCTGCTGTTGCTGTTGTTGTTGCTGCTGCTGTTGTTGGTGGTGCGCTGTCTGGTGGCTGTGGTGGTAGTGCTGCGCGGCTGTATGGTGGTGCGGCTGCTGCTGTTGCTGCTGGGTCTGGTGGTGCACTTGCGTCTGCTGTTGCTGCATCTCCCGCTCTAGCTTCTTAGCGAGCAAATCATGCCGTGATTCCATACCCGCTCCTCTGAAAATAATTGTCAAATTGTAAAAACCATAGTTAGTTATTGTCAGTGCATATGGGAAAATCTAAGGGTTTCGGTGGTGCTGAGGCGGCTACAACATGCTGACTGTTTTGACTATGACTATGTGTGACTAACCATGCGTGGATTTATTATTAGTTTAAACTACAGATTAATAAAATAGTTATTATTTTTAGATGATAAAAGAAAATTAATATGAGTAAAAATCTTTTTATTTTCATTTAATTTAAGTAAAAAGAATTTTAAAGTCTTTAAAACTGCTAAGAAGTAAGGTTTGGTTAAGATCTAGTAAATTATATGAAAAAATTAATCAATTTTAAAATATTTGAAAAAATCTTGACTACTACTACTTTCTGATTTTGATACTTTTTAGAGTCAAAATTTTTATTTTCAAGTAGTTAAAATGATTGCAGCTCAAACATGCTCACCCCTTAATATGCAAATTGATTTTCAGGCCAAACAACCTACAATAAAGTAAAGAAAAGTTCATGCCTTGAACGAGAATGGCTTGTTGTTGTTGCTGCAGTGGTTAAGTTAAGTTAAGTTAAGTGGGTTATGTGTATGGCAATATGGGTGTGGCATGCTGCGTTTAATTTTTGCATTTTTTATGAAGTTGCTCCTGTTGCTGTTGCTATTTTCTTGCAGAAAATTGAAAAAATAAATTTTTTTTGGTCTTTTGGCATTTGAAATACGTCAGTCACAACCCCATACCCCCCTCCACATGTGGTTGGTCCAAAAAGAGAGATATACTGGTGCTTAAGTCAGTGGGTGGGTGGTTAAGGAGCAGACTCCCAACGGAAGCAGGCTTTTAGAGAGCGGATGTCTATGTGGAAGTCCCAACACCATCATCAACTTTTTGCCTTTTCCTTTTCTAAAGAGCCATAACTTGTTATTGTGTGTGTGCCATAATTTGTATTTAAATGTGGCTCCAATTGTTATGGTAAAAGAGTGTAAGTGAGTGTGGGTGTGTGTCTGTGCTGCGAGCCAAACTCATATGGTTTTGGCCATCCCTTAGGTTAGGTTCTTACTTGTTGTTGCTGATTACTGCTGGATTGTTGCTTGCTGCTGATGTTGCTGCTGCTGTTGTTAGTTGTTGTTGTTGTTGTTGTTGTGGTGTTGGTGGAGGTAGCATGCAAAGTAAACGAGCAAGCTTAACAATAACAATTTGCAAAATTTTATAAATAGTTAATGGGGTTCCCCGTTTTTATTTTGTTTAAGGCCAGTGAGTTACTTTTTTTTTTGTGGGTCATGCATACGAGGGGATCTTTTGGGCCTGTGAAAACCTTTTTGCGGATTGAATGGCTTATTCTAATATTTATGGGCTTAAAAGGAGTGTGTAAGGGTGTGTGCAGTTAAGTCGAGCAACTACTAATGATAATGGTTCGGGTTAGATTACGCTACACAGACTTAGAAGAAACTTGGTTCATTTGGTTCACCCAGAATAATACATACGTCTCTAAAGAGATGATTTTGGTGGTGCTGATTTGGATGATGAAGTTGGTGGTGCTGTAGTGAGTTAACAACAACGCTATTGGTGCTGCTGTGGGTGGTGGTGCTTGCTGTGGTGCATGTTGGTGCTGCCACTGTTAGCTGAAGTTGTTGCTGTTGCTGATGCAATTGCTGTTGATGTTGTTGTTGCTGCTGCTGCTGCTGCAGTTGCAATTGCTGTTGCAGTTGCTGCATCTGAAGTTGCTGTTGCTGATGCTGTGCGTGTGGCGGTGGTGGTGCTGGGACAAGCAAATGCTCGACCCCACCGACGCCGCCGTTCAGGATGTACATGGATGGTGGTGGTGGTGGCGGTGCTGCTGAAGCAGCAACAACAGCAGTAGCAGCACTTTGTGCTGGTGGTGGTGGCGGTGCCTTGGTGTTCATTATGGTCATCTCGTTGATCATTTTGCTGCGTGCAAACTCGATGCGAATGGAACCGCGATCCGAGCTGAGCAGATATTTACCCTGCAGCTGCTGCATGGCCTGAGATGCGGTCGGTGGGTCCTTGAACTCGATGAATGCCACCGGATGTTGCTGCACCGCAGCGATGTTGCTGTTGTTGTTGTTATGGTTGCTGCTGTTGGTGTTACTGGTGGAGCAGCTTGAGCCAGTTGCTGTTGCCATGGCTGATGGTTCAAAGGCGGTCATAGATGCAGCGGGCATAGGCAGAGGCAGAGGCAGACGTTGTTGTTGTGGAGTAGGAAGTTGAAGTTGGTTTTGTTGAGGTCAGAGTTGAAGACAAAGTCATAGGCATAGAAGTTGTGATTGGGTGCGTACCTTTTGTGTGCATTCGTAGGCGACAAAAGCCAGGCATACTGTGCATATAATATATCATAGTTGGGTATATATATATATATATAATTTTTGTTGTTAGATATATATATGTCGGTTATCATGTATCATACAAGAAGAGTGATCGGGTGGGATGGTGGGCAACAAACGAACCAAGGAAGAGAACGCAAAAGTTTTTGGTTAGTATTTTTCGGTTAAGAAAAGTTCACAAAGTGCCAACAAGATTTCGTGGTTGTTATGGTGGTGGTAATGTATGTGATCGTGATCGGGTGTGGTGGTGGTTTATACTGTGGTGGTTATAGTTTTTCTTGTGATCTTAGTGCAGTTTTCATTGTGTCTCGTAATAAACAGAAAACTCGTGAAAACAAAAACCAAGAAACCAAGGTCTTTGATCGAGTTATTTTGTTGTTGGAATTTACCTAGAGAACACCTCCTTCAGCTCGTGCTCGGACACAAATTGGCCCAGATTGGCCACGAACAGCGTGGAGCAGGGCGCATTGGCTGCGATCTGTGGATTGGCCGGGTGGCTGGCGTTGTTCGTGGATCCAGCAGGGCTGGCCAGCGCCGGACTTGACAGATAATGATGATGTGAGGCAGCAGCAGCCGCTGCGGCAGTTGCAGCCGCCGTCGCAGCAGCACTTTGCGGTGCAGCAGCAGCGGTGGCCGCTCCACCACCTCCTCCAGCCGCTGCAGCTGCCGCAGCCGCAGCCATGTGAGCCATCGCAGCTCCGGGATGAATAGCAGTTGTCTGATGATGTGGCGGCATGGTCATTTGAGTCTGAAAAGGGGAGGGAAATATATTTTTAAAATAAAAGAAGTCTATCTTTCACTTTTCCTTAAGTCAACTTAAAAAATGTATGCAAGCTAAAGTTTCCTTAAAGTTATTATTAGTCAATTCCAATAGCCATCTTATAAAAACTTTGAGCTGCCTAAAGGAGAGATGTTCAAAATATTACTCATACGACCTGTCAAACCTTCAACTTGACTAAACAAAGTTTTGAGTGTTGAATAACTTTTAAGTTTTTAAGTTCTACTTTTCTCTTAAATAATTTCAAATTTAATCATATTTAAATAATGGTTTAAGGGACTTACTTGATGCATAGGCTGCTCCATTACTTTGTCTGTATTTAGTCAGAGATAGGAGCGCACTGGCACCTGCGGATGCAGGGCCGGATGCACTAGCGTTGCATGCTGCAGGGCAGCTGCTCCTGGCAATTCAGCGGCAGCGGCGGCCGAATAGGCTAACGGATGATGCCATAGCTCCGGTCCGCCCGGAAAGAAGGGCCCACCCAGATCTGTGAGTCGAGAAGAGAGATAGTGTTGTAAATCAGATGGCGGCTCACCTAAGTGGGATACTATTTGAGTATTAAACACAGGTTTTAGTTGACAAAAATCTAAATGGTAAAAACAAGAACGGTTTCCCAAACGAAAACAAAAAAAAATAGATATATATATATTAAGAAATGACTTTTATAAGTTTAAAGTTCGTTGTCTCAGTCTTTTGTTTCTTTATTGAGATGAAGTTTAATCTTTAAATTTAAGATATCTTTTTTTTACTATTTATTTAAGATCTCTAAACTTTCTTTTATTTCTAACTTTTAGCTCTTTGATTTATTTTTTCTAAGGTTTTTTTTTGTAGGCGTGTATGGTCTTAGTGTGTTCTTCTGAGCGTGTGTGTGTGAGTTGCACAAAGTGTTACAAGTGATCAAAGTGCAGTACATTATATATATATAGATTTTGTAGTTATTGTTGCTGTAACCTAGTCGGGAATATATATATAACTCAATAGCGACTCGAAGTATGCAGAGATAACGACTAGATATAGCATACAAAAAGTATTTACGATATATATTTGCTGATTTATATATGTTTAGTTTTAAAGTTGTGTGCACTTGAAGCAAGTTTTATATTTTTCTGTTTCAATATTTAACATTTTCAACTGCTCAATTGTGTGTGTGTGTGTGTGTTTGGTGTGTGTTTGTGGTTTTGTCGATAGTTAGGAGGTAGGTGCTCGAGTACGCCTTCGGTTCGGATTTCTTGTACCCTTAAACATATTTTTATATAGAAATATCAACTACATACACAAAAGGAAAACGAAATAAAATTTAAGAAATTAGCAGCTGCCGAGTTCTCATTTTGGTATTTGGTTTTTCTTTTGATTTTTTTTTTTTTTTTTACTTACGTCCAGTGAGTGGGTGCATCAATGCAGGATGTGAGGCTGTTGTCGCTGTATTGGGCTGTGGTTTGGGTTTGCTCACTTTCGTGTTACTCTTGGCGAATTCCAAGCGAATTGTTTGGGGCATATCGGGATCGAAGCGTACACCCTGCTGTAAATGATCAGATCAAAATACAGCGGTTTGTATTTTCTAGTTTTTTTTTTTTTTTTTTATATTTTTTTTGTCATGTAATTTAGTTTTTTTTCTTTCAGCAAAGTTCAAAAGTTTCGAAGGGGTAGGAGGATTTTTCAAGTATTTCTTTTGCAACAATTCGCCAAAAATAATTTTGAATGTCGCGTGAAAGTAACGTTTTGAAAAAGATTCGTGTTTCATTTTGGTTTTTTTTCTTATTTTTTAAAGAGATATTGCTTGAGGTTTTCTGAGGGCGGGGACACATTCAACGTAGAATATTTATTGCATGGTGCCTGCTCTGTAATCTGAGTTTTAGGTTGGGGGTCGTGGCAGCTGGTTTTGACTAGGTGTTTCTATTTTATGGGTTTTTTCAGACAAAAGTAGCGGTTTTATCTTATTAAAATCAAAAGTGGTTTGCTTTTTTAAGCTTTTAAAAAATTCTGCTTTTTCAAAAGTTTAAAAGAGAATTAATTCTGTATTTAAGGTTAAAATTTTTATTTTTCAAAATTCAAATTTTCATCATTTAAAAAGTCCAATTAATAGTTCATTAAGATACGAGATTATTTTTTTGTTTTTCTTTAAATTATAAAAAAATATAAAAAAATTTATTATTGTTTTCAAAATGTTTAATTTTTTTGTAAGCCAAACTTTTTCTAGTAATCGAAAAATCCGCTTTTGTGAGATCATCAAAAACTCCAAGGATACTGATTAGTCATTTCTAGGTTTCTTATAGTGCTCTTCCAGGGGCGGCAGGCTGGCTTTTAAGGGGCGTGGCTGGGGGACATGCACCACAGGCTTGAGACGTTGCTTTTCATTTGGTTGCTTTTTCTGGTTTTTTTGTTTGTGCTTTTTGCTTTTGCCATTTTTGCAGATTTGTTGCCAGAGATGAAGGTGTGTGAGTGTATAGGTGTGTGTGTGGGTGTGATGAGTGTACCAGTTTACGTGTGTATTTGTGTTCTCTGCGTGTCAAAGACTTTCTTTGAATGAGCAAATAAAGGGGAGGAGAGGGAAGATGCAAATACCAAAAAACAATAAGACAACTCAATGATAAGTTAGACAGAGAGATAAAGATCGATACAGAGAGAGAGAGACAGAGGTAGAGAGGTATATATATAGAGAGAGAGAGACATAGAGAGAGCGGGACTGCGAAGGCTAGACAGAGAGGGAAACACTTAATGCGATTGGGTGAAAATTTAAGAGATTCTTTCTTTTCAAATGCAAGCACGTGTCTGTGTGGATTCTTGTTGTTTGTTCGTTTTGTTTGCTATTGTTTTTTGTTTTTTTTTTTTTTTTTTTGTGATTTTTGGGTGATGCAAAAGGAGCTTGTAGCTCGGTTCTTGAACAGCGGTAACGGGGGCCTAACGGTATTTTTAAGCCAGGCAATACGAGTATACAAGTATTTTGATTTTTCTGTTGTAGTTTCAGTACTTTTCTCTTTTGGGTGCTTTACAATTTCTTGATGTTAAAAGTGTAAGTTTCTTTTGCTGTCGCTGAGAATATCATTTTCGGGATTTTTATTTTTGTCGTATTGCTTAAAAAAATTAGCTAAATGTTGGTGTTCTTTCGATTATAGAAGGTCTAGATATTGATATACAGATTTGGTTTCAATATTTACCTGCAGATCCTGTTTAGCTGCCTCGGCTCCAGCTCTTGTATGGAATGTCACAAAGCCAACGGGCTGTGGAAAAGATTTTATTATAAATATTTATTATCAAATTTAGAATTTTTAAAGGAAAAACAAAGTACGGATTATAAGTTGCATAACTAAATAGGTTTAAATTACAAAACCAAAGACTTACCGATGCTGTTTTGCCATTTTTGCTAGTTACTTTCAAAAGAGATCCTTCATAGCCCTGTTTATAAGCAAAATCGTTATTAAAAAACATGTTTAAATTATAAAATATTTTAACAAACACCCACCTCATAGGCTCTGAATAACAAATAGAGTTCACGCGGCTTGGCGTCCATGGGCAAACCGCTGACAAAAAGTGTGCGAACCTGGAATAATGACAAGTTAGATAGAGAATGGTTAGATGATTGCTAGTTCACAAAAACCAATTTCCTATGATTACGTAATTAAGTTGAAACTGTCACGTTGTCGCTGCGAAAACACAAATACAACCTTCAGCCTCAATTTTCAACTTCAAATGTTTGTAATGCGCTTTGTATGCCCTGACCTCTCTTCCCTTTCCCTCTTCTGGCCAAAAAGTTCATGGCATCATCCCCACTAGACCAGCACAACGCACATGGCATTAAGGAGTGGGAGAGAGAGAGGGTGATGGTAATTGGGGGTGGTGGGGGTCACATGTACATACTGATAATGAAACCAAATGGAATAAGCGCCATAAACGCTGAATTCATTATGACAACGCCACAGACGTGACTCTTGTTGGTGGGGCCAAAAGGGAGCGGGCGGATAAGGGGGTCATATTACAGGTGACTCAGGTATAACACCCTAAAAACCCCCTTCAACTAATACACGTGTGTGTGTGTGTGTGTGTAAGCTGCAGGGACTAAATGAGTCCCTAGCTCTGACAGCTTTTTATTTTTAACACCTAGGCGAAAATGTTTGAGTTGAGGTGGCAAGCGTTACGTTTTGAGCGATGTGAATGTGTGCAACTGGGTTACATCGCCACCTCTTCTGTTTATTTTCGCTCTTTTTCGGTTGTATATTTTGTGCTGAGCAGGTAAATTTACTTTGTTGCGGGTTCTTAAAGCTCGAGCATCATTAGCTTAAAGGTAAAAAGGTTGAATTATGTTGGAGAGGAGAACCATTCGGTTTATGAATATAAATCCTTAACTGTTATGATCTGTAACAAATTTTATTTATTTTTAAGAATATAAAACTAATTTCTTAGGCTTGATTTCAAAATTAAACATCCCTTTATTTACTCAATACTTAACTACTCAATTCTATAAAACTTATTGATTCTGCTCACGTGAACTTTTATCTGTATTAAACATATCCAACTTCCATGACAATGAAGTTTACAGTTTTTCCCAGCAACTGGATTTTATAAAACTCCCTCCCATTTCCATCCCCCTGCGGCTGGCGTGTTGTGTTGAAAATTAAAACGTGTTCTATCATTGCCATCTACCTTCTTTTTTGCCTTGACTGCTGTAATCTACTGCAAACTCTGTGTCCTTGTGTGTTTTGAATTTGGTTTTTATATAAAAATAGCGAGATACAAGTTTGCAACATGTCACGCATATTGTCTAGCATGGGAAAATGCTATGCTGGAGGGGGAAAATCTTATATTGCAGCGGAGGAAAATTCAAGAGCAGCTTGAAAGAGGATAAGAAACTTCGGCAAGAGCAGCTTTTTATTTGTCCTCTGTCTCAGCTCAGGCACTTCTCACAAATTAATTAGCAAAAGTCCTGCTCCTCCAAAAATCCTCTCAAAAACTCCAGCGGAAAAACCAACAAATTTTTGTACTCGGGAAGCGCAAAAGAAGAAAAGCCAAGGTGGCTTGGCCTAGGAAAGGCCTTAGCATGGTCAGTTAAATAGCAATTTAAATTAATTTTTATGCAGTAAGCGGTTGGCTAATTGAAGGCAATAATGAGTCGGCGGGTGGAAAAAGGCCAAGTCAGGCTAATTAGGAAAAGGCATGGGATTGGGTAGTGTTGGGTGCCGGGGTCAAAAGGCTCTCCAGCTAATGGCAATTGAAATGCAATTATTAAATGCTCCAAAAAGTGTAAATTAACTTAAGGCAAGTGGGTGGCGAAAAAAAAAATAAAAGATGTTGAAGTTTTTATTCGAGTTAAGGGGCTTTCCCTTCCCTTTTTCATAGCGCATATATACATATCTATATAGCTTTATCTCCGACTCTGTCTGGGAGTCGTGGATTTGGCTTGTGTGCGCTTGTGGGCATTGCGGATAGACATTTAGTATTTTGGCAACTTCAACTGCAATTGCAACTCCAGCTATGGCGGCCAACTCTCAACTTCAAATGCAAACTTTGGCTTACACATGCAAGAGACATTATATCAAAGCACTGAGAGAAATTTGTACTAAAAAGTTATTTCAAAAAAGGTATAACCTATGGTTTTCTTAGAAGATAATAAGACAGGAAGCTAAAGATAGTTCTTTTAATTAGTAACTAAAATCTAGGATAAGAAACTATAAAAAAAGTAAGATTTCTTTATATTTCCTTTTCATTTCTAATGATTATTTTTGTAATTAACTTCTTCGTAGTGCTATTCTGTTTTCAAGTTGGTTTCTGATGCTGATTTCGATGCTGTGGGTGTTCTGCTTCTGGAAATGTATCTGTATCTGTATCTGCATCTGTTGTTGTTGCACTTTGCGGGTTTGTCTAACTCTCGTTGCCAAAATCCATTTAAATACAGCAGAACTGTTTTTGTTGTTGCTGCTGCTGTTGTCTTTTGGTCAACCTTGCAACTTGGCTCTGATTTTGGCTTGCTAAACATGCAACTCCCCCCCTCTCCTTTTGTCTGAATCTCTCTCTCTGTGTGTTTATGTTTGTTTTTCCTATTTGCGGCTTGCTGTTTGTTGCCAAGAAGTTAAAGTTCCTCCCCTCTCTATCTCTCACTGCCGTTTGCCGCAATGCCTGCCCCGCCTCCTACTACTTTACCGCCCTAACCCCCCTTTTTGTCAGTTTATATTCCTTAGCCAAACTTTGTTTATAATTATGCTCGATTCCATTTGTTGTTCTACCCGCAAATAAATGTTCTAACTTGGGTGATTTTGCACAATTTTCCCATACATTGCGTATACGCAGCGTTGTCCACAGGGTAGAGCTTTGCGGTCAATGAAGTGGCATGGGAGGCAAACTAGCTAACAAGTCGACCTTGTCTTCCAGCATTGTTGGGCCAACATAAACAGGGGAAAATAACAACGTTTATAAATCACTCGGTAGTCAAGTGTTGACTTACAATAATTAAGCATGACAGAGAGACAAACACACAAGCATAGAGGTGGCTATATCGATATATACAGCCACTCACTTGCCGCCCATTCAGTTCGCTAAGCGTGGGCGTGGCAATGGCATATAAAATGCAAACAATTTTGCCAGCCCAAGTAGCCTCCAATCACTTGAACGTGTTGCAGTCGCCGCTGGAAACTATTTAGCCGCAACAGCAAATTTACATATTTCGATGTTGGCCATAAATGAGAGAGGCTTTTGAGCCACTTTTAAGCTGATTTGTTGCTGATTTTTATCGCTCGGCGGCATTTGCACAAAGCCAATAGCAACGCTTCAATTGCTTTTTATTTTCTATAAATAGTTGGCAATTAAATTGCATTTGATGTGTATGCAAAAACTAACTTATGGCAACTGTCGAATTGAGAAAAATGAGAAATATTTGCATTTGATTGATGGTGATTCGTGTTAAAAGTCATTTGGTTATATTATATATTATATATAAAGCAAATTTAATCAAAAAATATATTCGTTTTCTGGAACAATTTATTTTGATGTTTTATTTGATTTTAAATAATATTAGCACGTTGATTATATGCGCTTAAAATTATTTATACATTTTCCAGCTTATTAGCACTGAACTTTATTTAATTTTGTAAATATTTTCCACCAATTAAATGCTTGCTAATATTTACTTTCATTTTTATTGTCCGATTTCAATTATTTCAATTGTTTTCAAATTTTGTTTGCTTTGTTTGTCTATTAATATTATTTTGTTAGTATTTAATTAGTATTTGCACATGTTGCAGTTTTATCTTTTGTCTAACCTCGGAAAAAGTATCTTTTTTCATTTATTTTTCATTATAAAATATTTGTTATTAATTAACTTTTTAGTTTGAAAAGGTTTAAGCTTAAACTCTTTTCCCTTTTTCACTATAGAATGCTGTTAAACTTTTTGTTTACTTGATTTTTCTTATTTTCTTGATAAATCGGGTCAGGCCAAAGTCTTTTCAATAGTCTGCAGTATAGTTACCAATGCCTTAGATTTTCCCTACTACTTTTCTCTTGTTACTTTATTCTGTTCTACCCTCGACTGTTAGCCAATTAAGTCGAGCATTTAGTCAACTAAAATGCCAGCGGCTAAAAGTTTATGTTACAATTTGTTATTGTTTTGCTGCTGCTGTTGCTGCTGCTCTTGTTATTGTTGCCAGCTACTTGTGTTTGCTTAGCTTTTCTTTGCTTTCTCCTCTGCTCCTTTCTTTCTTCGCTCTCGGCAGCGGAACAACAATAATAACAATAATAATAGTGCCAACAAACGCCAGCATCCCGTGCAAAGTCTTCAAGTGTGCCGCAACAGTGATTGTTAACAGTAAAGAGAGAAAAATTTCTATCAATTTTTTTATTAAATTTAAGTTTTTATGGATTTTAAAAATATTTATAACTATTTTTGTTTTCATTTAATTAACTTTAATGCTTAGGTCTGTGAAAAATCTCTGTTTAAATCTTTTTCCCTGTGTAATCTTCAATTGTCGTTGCCCAAGAAGAATGCTGCATTGAGGGAAAAGAACTGCAACTAAATGAGTAAGCCAAATGAATGAATGCATGTGGCTTGACTTTTGTTGTCCACATTGTTGTTGCCCCAGCATTGTAGTTGATCCTTTTTCCCTCCCCCCTTGCTGTAGTTGCTTTGGCGCATTTTGCATACAAAATGTGAACTGAAGTTCGGTGAAGAAAGGATAAATAAGAATGCCAAATGGTTCAGATCGTCCGTCTCTTTCTGTTGCTCTATTGCCGTCCCTGTCAATGGTGCATTTCGTTTCGTTGCCCCACCACTGCATCACAATGTTGAAAGCGTTTTGTATTTCCCAGGATTTTTCTTTTTTTCTCGTTTTTTCTTTCTCCCTGCCATTCGGTTTTTGGCATTTAGCTCACGCGTCTGGCAAACATCGCGTATACGCGATGTGGATTGCTACTATCCAAGCTGTATCCCCCCCCCCTACCCCTGGCTCCGCTCAATTAAGCCTGGCCGAGGTTTTAATCTCTTCTTGTTGCCTTAGCCTTGGTTTGTTTTGTTTTTGTTTTCCTTTTGGCTTTGACTCAGCTTCCAGCCATTGTTTA